ATTAATTTAGCCCTGAACAACGTAACAGATGAATTAAACACATTTTAAAATAATTTAAGTGAAGAATACCATATCCAGATGAATTCAACACAGCAGAAACACTCTAACTTCTCACCTTTTCAAGGTAATTGAACATTCATTAAAACAACTTTTAAATATGATAAGCACTTATCTTTACGCCCCACAGAGAAGCAACGTAATTTTAGTCTCAACAAAATAAAAGAAAACAGAGCTGTAAAAAACATTTCCTTTATCAACACAGGGAAAAATATTCTTACACACCTGACAAGAAAGCATTCCCTATTTCCATCACGCTTCCCTGACTGACCCTTTCAAGCACTTAACTACACTAATGCTTGCAAAGTTTATCCAAACATCTATCCCACATGTCTTTTCCTGAAAAGAAGTAGTAAAGCTCGCTTTGAAGTCATAAGGCCACAGCTTCACAGGCAGAAACAATATAAAATTATCTTTGCATTGCTCCTCTGTTTCTGTTTCACCAACTCTCATGTGTGCAAATACAGTATAACTATTATTCATTCTTCTAGAAAGAAAGGCTGAGTACAACCCTAACTAGGAAAACCGAGTTAACTGTCAACTTAGTAAATCTGTGTTCAGCAACAAAAGCTCACTTAGGATTCCCATAGATTTTTGTTATTTTTATGAAAAATATATAAATTATAGCCGAACAACTGCATCTACTTTATTTAGTTTAAGAATCTCCTCATTGTACTCTTAAACTTCAGTAAAACTTTTAATTGGCAGTAGCCACTTTCATAAATGTGGACATAGAGATTTAATTCAAAGTATATGGCATTGCTGAATAAATATTTAGAAAGGAACAGAGCAGTAACAACACTCAGAAGTTTTCATAATATAAGGTACAAGTTACAAATAAGTATTAGGGCTTTAAAAATGTTAAACCAGCTGCGGATCCTAACATTGTCCATCATTTTCTACTGTATTAGGTAGATTCCTTGCACAGTTAAGAGGCAAATATTTCTCTACTCTAGTTGTAATATGCTAAGGGTTTTTTCAATACCTTTAGGATTTTTTTTTTTTCAAGAGACAAAGGGAACACAGTTAGCAAACAGTTAAAACCATGTTTAAGACTTTAAATGTGTATGAAATAATGTTGGAAACTATTATAATTGTAAAATATATGATGTATGCAAGCACTAGTCTGTAAGTAATTGTGCAACTTGTTGATAACCTCTGCATGCTCAAACAGCTCCAAAATACAAGGTGTATCTAGAAGAAAGAGCTGCTGCTTGTCTTTATAGAATATAATGAGTATTAAAAGCAAGATACAGATTTGAAAGTGCGAGGGGAATATTACTGTAACTTGGTATACATATAATGAAGAGTGACATTTTTCTTGTTTTTGTTACATTATTCCTCAGAGTGCCTCCTTAGGCAACCCTGGGAAGAGTAACAAAACTGCAGAGACTGTTCATACAGTGTGGCCTAGCTTGAGTTATTCATGTATACCCCGAAAAGTGTAAAAAGCCAAACCCTTATCCCTCTTGCAGTTCTGCTTCTCAGAGATTTTTAGTGTAAGTGCAAAACTGAACCCTCTGCTGTCAAGGGTAAAGCCACCTGGGTCCTCCTTCTGTCACCTGTCACATCTATTGAACAGGAAAAGTGCATGGTCCAGATATTCCAGCAGGATGAGATGGGAGATGAAAAATCTTGCCAAGAAAAACCAGCTCACAGTGGAAAGCACCTCCCTGGTGACAGGGAACAGAAAAGGGAAACAAACCTCAGAATTTCTGATCTTTACTGTGTGCGGTTGAACAACATTTTGCGAAGTTCAGTAAAGAAGACAAGAATGCAAAGTATTCTGTGCTCTTCAGAGAGACAACCTAGATGATCTTCAGAGCAGGAAGCATAAATATATTTCCTCTTCTTTTCCATTTCAGACTTAGAATAACTAAAACCTACAGCTGAGGAAAAAAATGTTATTTCTTCACAATGCAAACAGAAAATACAGTTGAGAAAGCATAGACCACTTTTTGTTCTATTACAGTGCTTAGCACATTGCTTCTCAGTTTGTGGTACTACAAATACCTCCTTGTCCTAAAAATTCACCCAAATGCTGGAGCACTGAGACAAAACTAAAACCAGCTGTGTTGCATAGTGCCAAAGGGTCAGCTAACCTAGCATCTTGTGTCAAACAGCGTTCAGTGGTGTATGCCAGAGGACCGTAGGACTGTCATAGGCATCCAGGAACACTTCCCTGGTTACAAACTCTTAATTTCTAGCCATCAGTTTTTAGCGAGTTTTTGATCCAGACATGTTACTTCTGCATTTTATGCCTCCAGGGGCTTTGCTTCCATTAATATCTCACTCCCTTTTAACACCCATGTAAGCTATATGGCCAGTTTTAAAATTTAAGCATGCCATGTGTGAAAAAAAGCTGCTCTTTTTCTCCTTTTGGACTGGCTACCTCCCTAAGACTTCTATCAAAAGACACACCTTTTCCACAGCACTCCTGAATTTACAGATCCCTGTTACATCTTTACTGAGCCGCCTCTTTCCCAGCCAGAAAAGTCTCAGACAATTCAGCCGCTTCTCAGATGTGTTGTCATTACACAGCTTTGGCTGCTTTGATCCTCGTATTTGAGCCTTTCCTAGTTTTGCTAACTTTTTGCAGCAGAACAGACCAGAATTTTACACTACATTAAGACTTAACTGCACCAGCAATTTACATGGTGTAGAACTGTTTTCTGTTTTATTCTTTATCACCTACTGAGTCATTCTTAGCACTTGCCTGACCTGCTGCTGAGCAATGAGCTGATGTTTCCACAGAATTACGTAGCTACTCCAAAATCACTTTCCCAAACAGCAATAGTTACTTCAGAGGCCCCAGCTACAGGTAAATTGAGAATTCAGTATTATTTTATATATTATATTTACATTATTTTAGCAAATGTTGAATTACATCTTCCATTTTATCAGACAGTAACATGAGATGCTTCTGCTACGTTTAACATTTTCCATTTTTGTTGTATTTTGAGAACCCAACGTAAGTGCAAACATTACGTTACCATTTACCCCTCTTTTTAACTGACCTTTTAGTTACCTGTTGAGCAGCAGAGTCCTGCGGGACTCCTTTAGCAGTCTCTTCTTGTTGGGAATATTGGTAACTTACTCCTCTACTCTTTGTTACTCTGTTTCGCAAATAGCCATGTAACATTAAGGGACCTCCACTCCTTAACTGGCACATCACCATTTTTTAAAGAAATTTTAGTGAGAGACCCTGTATACATCAAACTTGGCCTTCTTCACCTACTCAGTGAAGCAACCTGCAGAAAGGGCCCATTTTTCACATTTGTCCATTTCTATTTTCTTAACTTTAACACAAAATACTAATGTACTAATGAGGACAGAGGAAAGTTCCTTCCTCTTGCGAGTTCCCTAACTAGCTCTGTCATGAAAAATTAATTTATATTGTCCAACAAAACCTCAAACTGATGCTCATAATAAAAACTGAAATTTTTATTTGGATTTGCAGTCTCTGCACCATCTTAGATATGGTTACCAACAGTGAGGGATTTTGCTATGTATGGTCTTAATTCTCAGTGGACTTCTTAGCCCTAGGGACTCAAACATTCAGTCCAAGGGGAGTCTAGATTATCTGTTGCTCATTTAACTTCAATTCATAGCATGGCACCAGCTTCCAGTAGAACAAATAGCTGGTTATCTTTATTGTCTCAACAGCCTCACTTAAAACTAGCTATTCTAGTCCTCAAGTGTTTTTTTAGACCGAGATTTCCACAGATATACACAGTGGGTTCTGTTGCCAGTTTTAATGGAACCTTAGTTACACTGGTCTTTGCCATTTATTTTCACCAACTTCTATCCTATGCTTTTACCAAATTCTATTTATCATCCGTAATCACACTTTCCTCCTTATGTCTGCTTCTGCCCAGCTCATGGATTTAAAATACCTACTTGTTTTCTTTTTTAAAAGCCTGGTTTAATTTTGGTTTAGGTAAAGCCTGCATTTTCTGCACATGCTCCTATTACTAATGACCCTAATTAACTCCTTATTTCCTTGATGCTATTTGCACAGTCCGGCAATGAAACTCTGCTTCTCTCCCTCTCTTCTCTGCATGGGTTTGGAAAGTTACCACGTGAAGGCCATGGTTCTCCAGCCTGACAGCCCAAAGAGCAACCCAATGCTAAAGTAAAATCTTTACTCCAAAGAGAAAGTGTAGTTTTTTAGTAGTAGAAGGAAGGAGGATGGAGAAAAGAGCAGTAACAATCTTGTTTCTGTTCAGCACTGCTGCATGAAAGAGCCATACAAAAAAAACAAAAGGAAATTGTCAGTGAAAGGAAATCTACAAAATCTGTCCAAAATAAGCCAAGTTGGAAAAAATATTAAAAAATCTTTCCATTATATTCATGGTCAAGGGTCTAATTTAAAGATCAGATTTCTGATCCTGTACAAGTATAACCCGCAGATCCAACCATTTATGGGGCTGCATTTAGGCTTCCTAACATGATCCTCCCTGTTACCCTAGGGTATCTACAGCAGGATGAAGAATTTCTCCCCTTCCTCTTTCCTGAACTGTGTGTTGGTTTTTACAGGAAAACCACTGTCCAGGAAGGAATATGGCAGCTGCAAGATGCACTTACCATGGTTTTTTTCACCTGTTCATATTTCCACCCATGCCATGGAAATAGGAAGGCAATCCTGCCTGTGGATATCTCTTGACACAGTAGGGACTCTTTTAACCACAGAGAAAACAGAACTTTCATACCCATTTAAACAGGTGCCACTTATTGTCTGGAGACAGAGACAGCAAGGCAAATGGTATTTCAGCATTTGCCTGTGTATCTATTAGTTATCCACCCACCAGAGAAATGTCCTCCTGTACAATGGTCCTTCACATGGGTCATGTGTAGCAATTTCTTATGCAAAGTTAGCTATATTCTTCTGAAACCACTCCAGGGACTACCCCTTTTTTTGACAAATGTACAGAAAACATTAATTTGAGGAGTTGAGGTTGTTTTATTTTAACACCTAATACAATTCAAATTTAAAGGATTACTTGCACAAAAAAATAAACACATTTGGTATAAAAATTTATCATCACTTTAACACCTTTTTTTCCTCTTACAGCCTGCGCCTTCTCTGGAGCAGAAACATATAAAGACTAATGGCACAAGTTTGTTTTATTCTACAGCATTTTTTTTGTTTTTACATACTCAAGTACCCTAGAGGACAACAGCCCGCTGTATACAAGAACCATTTTCTTCAGCCTGCTGAATTAAGTTTCATAAAGAACCAAAGCTATAAAGGCATTTTAAAAACCATTGTCTCATTTTTTTTTTTCAGAAGCACTGACTTTTTGCACCATTTATATACATAGTGTTACATAACAGCTCTTGAGTACAGTACATGCAGCAGAATCTATCTGTTGAATATAAAACATACATTTAAAATCTTGACTTACTGGAATTTTTTGAAGATTGAGTAATTATAGAATGCCCACTGCTTAGAGAAAATGGTGTGATAGTACAAATGTCTGCATATGTTGGCCACTGGAACAATCCAAGGCTCACTGCAATAGTCTGTAGCACATCAATGTGCATAAATAATCTACTTACAATATTAAAACACAACCAGCAAAATCAATAGTTCAAGATCTTATGACTGCTATGTTAACCCTTGAGTGGTTGCAAGGAAGTGCGGTTGGGGTTCCTCCCCCTCCCAAGTCCTCTATAAAACCTCTAGTATGTAATTTGTCTTCCAGATGAAGAAGCTTATTTATGCCTACTGCCTCTTCTTTTCATTGCAGCTGTACACTGTGGACAGTACCATTTCCCTTTCGGTGCTTCTGTCAGTCCAACACATCCATAGTGGAACCACTCAATCGGGCACTATAAAAAGACAGTTAGAGAGGGTTTAGGATTTTGTGTTTTTTTGGAAACACCTATCACAAATACAATTCTATGAAAATGAAGTACAAGTAAAAAGCATAGATTCTGCTTTTCACACAAAGTCACACGATGTAACAAAAAGACAAGAGTACCTCAATCCCTAACATACACTCAGTAGACTAAGGAAAGATAAATTCTAGGAGTCATAAATGGATTCACATAACAGAGCAAAAGTAGTATGCTGTGCTTCAAAATGCTTAGTTTGACAACATTAAGTGACACAACAGTAATCTTATCCCTCAATTCTGTTTAAATGTAGAATCTCAGTACATACACGATTACATTCAACTGTTCTTTTAAAACTTTTTTATTTCAAGGGGACAACTGATATTAGTAGAGAGACAGCTAAAGTTTCCTAGAAATAAAGGGCATTTTAAAGATATCAAACCTTCCCAGTTGTCCCGAGTTAAGCTGAGACAGACTTAACTTTCTTCATAATAGGTAGCAAGAGGCTGTGTTTTGCATTTGTGCTCAGAAGAAAGCTGATAAAAGGCGATGTTTATGCGGCCACCAAGGTCTTTCAGCTTCTCTGGCTGTCTGCAAACAGGAGAAGCTGGGAGGGAGCACAGCCCCAGTTACTAGCCCAGGATTTGATCTCAGGTTCGGGACTGAGACCCAGAGTGGCCAATAAACTATTCCATAACATACACATCATGCCCAGTATATAGTTGAGGACCCTCCAGAAGATCGTCCCTTTTTGTTCCGGATCATCTTGCTCCAGGTGGTCGTTCTCCCAAGGCCTCCCCACCCCCCCACACCCTGGTCAGCTCTCAGTCTGGGACGCTCGGACTGTTATCTCCGTTCTGTGAGTGCGGTTTCAGGACTCTCCCTGCTTTGGGATCGTTAGCTGTGAACAGGCTGAGCCTTGGACATTGGGTGGGGGGGCAGAATCACTGTGTATCACTCATTTGTATACAGTATTATTTTCAATATTATTGTAGTTTAGTTATTAACTTATTCTTATCTCAACCCACGAGTCCTTTTTCCCCTTTAACCCTTTAATTCTCAACTCTATCCTCAGTTGGGGGGTGGGGGGGGACTGGGGGAGTGGGTGTGTGGTTTGGCCCCCAGCCAAGGGCAAACCCATCACACCAGTAAAGGATGAAGCCTTCTAAAATAACCTGAACTGTGGCAACAGACGAGAAGTTTCCTGAATGGTTCACGTCGTATGCAAATTATTCTAAAAAACTTGACTCTAAAACCAACTCCAAAGTAACTCCTGCAAGCAACAGTTACATGCACAAGCCTCTCATGAACCTTTTGAACTTTGTTACTTACATCTTGGTTATCACAGCCTACCATTTCACCATAGGACACCTAGTAAGAAAAAAACCCTTATTAATAATTATATCACTGGTTAAAAGCAATCAACATTTTCAAAAGTCTAAAGTTCAAGTTTCTTCCTTTGAGGAATTTTTCCATTAACAGCAGCAACAATATTTTTTCTTTTCTTTTCTTACACAACCCAAAGAACATGTTCACAGCAAACTGATTTTCAAAAATTTTTCATAAAAAAAAAAAAAGGGGGGCGGGGGTTCTGAGTATTTCAGGCTGGATAAAAATAATCAGCATTCAAAACCAGAACGAAGCACATTTTGGTCTAAACAACAACGCTCAGTATCTTATGATATCTTATGTATCTCAGTATCTTATGAGCCCACTTTTCAATATTATGTTCATGTCTGACACTTCCCTCATATACACAACAATTTCAAACACTTTATTTGAATCAATCAAATGCTTGCAAGAGAATTACAGAATTCCATAAAGTCTAAAAAAATCCCATACTCTTAAAAGTGTTTAAAATAAGAACATGCATTTTTAAATACAAGTTTCCCATGTTGTCATTCAGTCTCTCAAGTTTCCAGGTGGCTCTTACAAAACTAGGTTATTGTTTCACTGGTTTGTTGCTGTTGTTGTTTGTGGAGTCTTTTGGCTTTTGTTTTGTTTGTTTGTTTTAGGGTTTTTTAAAGGAAAGTAGGAAGGACCTGGCAAATTTCTTACTTAGAATTTTAACTAAATTTACTGTGAACCTGTTGAATTTTGAATTTCACTATTCCTAAAGTCTTCATTAAAAGATTTAAAGCTCTCCAGGTATGTCACATCACTATAAAACTTCATTGTTTTTAGCATCAACAGTTGAGTTCATTATTCATATCACCAGTAAGCAAATAAAAACAGATCAGAATTTGAAAAGACTGCAAATAGAATGTTTTTAAATTAGCAACCAGAGAAGGAAGTTCAACAACAGCAAAACAGCAGCTCGTTATATTTCAGGTTGGAAGCCATCCTTACCTGATTACAAATGCAGTAACGTGGCTCATTTGGATCATAGGTCCAGTCAACCTGGCTATTAGAATCAGACTCCGGTATTACTGCTGTTTGCTGAGACAGTTCTTGTGCTAGTGCAGATGAAGAAGAACACGATGACAGAGACGAAGAAGAGGAAGATGATGAGGACTGCTGACCTGAGGATTTGTTGTTGTTTCTGAGGGGAAAAAAAAAAAAAAAAAAAAGGCATAACAAAATTTAAATTCATTTCCTGACAAACGAAACAATCACAAAACATGTACTTTGTTGACTCTAAAATACTGCAGTATCTAAGTCCCAAAGCATCATTCAGTAACAGATTCAATTCAACAATTCCAAGAACTGAAATGGACACATCGAATGCTGTTTGGAAAGAAAAGGAAACAAGTTTTACCAGCTTACATGTGCAATACACGCTATTCTAATCAATGGAATTTAACAGCTTTAAACTGCCATATGGCTTTAATGAATGTTTTTCTTCACAAAATTTTCCATCAACAGCCTTGGTGTAAAGTCCCTGAAAAAATTATGTTACCAATAAAATAGGAATTTACATATAAATAATGTCATATGTCATGTACACTAGATAACTGTGTTTTGAAGATGACTGATTCAATGCTCATCTCCAGTCAAGCATCACCAGTTACTCCAGAGGAACAGTGCCAGAATACAAATTCTATGCTTTTGCTTATAGCTCAGATCTGACACCCAAGATATCTATAGATGAAAAATGCTTCTAAGACAAAATTACTGAACTCTGAACACACACACACACACACACACACACACTTGTATGGAGAAAAAAACACAACTCAATTTAAGAGGATGGGCACTTTGAGACAAGCTCTTCGAAATACAACTTGCAATTGTTGTCACAATGTGTTGTGACATTGTTTTGTTTAAAATGTTTTTAAATTTCATTTTGATCAAAATCTACTCTCCAGAACACAGAAAAATGAGGAAAGAAACTAGACTATATCACAAACGAAAAAGCAAATCAAGACAGTTCTTTAAAACCTTGGAGTGAGTTTGCTTAAAGAAAAGTGACAAGACAAAAGAAGAAAGTCCTGAACAAAAAAAGGCCAGCAGACGACAACTACCTTCTGTCGATTCCTACCCTTCCTCCCCACCCAGATACTACAAATGAACTATTTCTAATATGGCCCATGACCTTTAAAATAAAGTTTAGCTGTCTTAAAAGCTATAATTGCAGTCAACAAGTCAGAAAACCTACTTGCTTTTTCTGCCACTTCGTGAATCTGTGGTTGATGAACTTAACGTCTGTGTTAATGTAGATGCCAGAGCTGACGATGAATATCCAGTTGAATCTCTGGATAACGAAAATTCTCTTCCAAGCTGAAAATCATTGTTCTTAAATGCTTCATAGCTGGCTTTTAGACTGGAAGTTCGTCTTCCTTCTTTCATCTAAAAGGAACACTGAGACTGTATCAGCTTACACAGTAGAGCTCTTACAGAAGACACATATCGGGCTGCTAACTGCTAATTATTTGCACAGGTTCATTAGTTAACCTGTTAACAAAATGATGTATAAGTGGTAAAAAGGTTTAAGAATATCCCACAGGAGAAGCTAGAAAACAAGCTGTCCCTTTATGACAGTTTTGTAGGATGAAACTGGAGTATATAACCAAAAATGATATGAGAACTGAATCACATCAGCTGGAAGTGATCATGGGATTTCAGACTAAAACCAAAATCACTAGTCTTTCTTCTTAATCAGTGATGGATGGCAGAATTACAAGAATGTTTTGACATTACCTGTGCCGTGGCTTGCACTGCTTGGGCTGCTGCCATGGTAATTGCACCGGCCCCAGATCCTGAAGATAATGAGCCCAGGTTATATGATGCCAATGGTTGAGAAGAGTTTGTATTGTATGCATTGTTTGAAGAGGATGATGAATTACTGTTTCGACACCCTTGATGAACAGAACACATTTATGAAATTCAAAATGAAACTAAATTCCTTTGCATTTTAAGAAGACTTATTTATGACAACCAGTGAAGAGCAGGAACTCCGTTTATGCATCAGAGCAGTCTGATCGTTTGGAAAAAAGGTTCAAAAAGTAGTTGACACAGCTGGTACTGGCTTAAAAAAAAAAACTTTGTTCCCCACCTATCCTCAGGTGCACAGAGTCCTTTTAGAAAGGCAGTCCTCAGTATCATAGTCAGCTATCAAAGAACAGATGCAGCTGCTATGTCTATATCTATATAGACCCAATCTCCATTGAAATGATGCCGACTAGTGGAACCATCAAGAAGAAAGCAGGAATTTGACTGTACACCTATACTGTTTCTGCAGCAAAACTTCTAACAATCTTAATTCTAAAACCTATAAATCACAGTTTCAATGCAACATAAATTTCCATGGCCATCTACAGACTGACAGCTGCTCAAACATAGTTACATTTTATTTTCCATCTCATGTGAAGTTCCTTCAAAAGAAAAATGGATATGAAGGAGACTACTTAAAGTGATGAACAGGACTACAATCCAAAACATAAGGTAGTTTACTTATTGTACCCTCTCACAATCTTTTCTTGTCAGAAAAGAAACTATGAAACACCCTGATTCTGAAAATGAGCAGAAAGTTGTGGGGCTTTTTTATTCACTGCTCAAAAAGACTTCTCACCTCTTTTGAAATAAACATGACACAAAACAATTTTATTTTATTGTAGCTGAAAGCCATGCCAGACCAACCCTTAAAAAAAAAAAAAAAAGAAAAATCTTTTCCCATACTTCGGAAATTGTTGCATGCATTTCTTCCCAAAATAATAATGTACTGATCTCTTATATTTTTACTGCTGGCTGAATGAACCTGTAGTGTTATCTTCTTCCAAGCAGTGTAAATAAAAAGAAACAGCCAACATGCAGCTGTTATAAGACAACAAAGCTGATGTGCTTCACGGACAACACAGATGAGTAACAATGCCTGCAACTTCTCATGTTTCAAATGACTTGAAAATCCCAGTGGAAAGGGCATGAGCCTCTGATTTCAAAAGACAATACCTCGCAAATATAAAATTGTGCTTCTCTTCTTTGGAAAAAGTAATAAAATGCAAGACAATTAACATTACCTGGTGCACTTTCTTTAGAAGCATCTGAAGTCAGGGTAGATAGAAGGGCTTCAGATTTAAACTTCTTTTCAGGAACATGATCTGTTGTACTATGGTGAGAAGATGGATTGTGTTTCCTTTCTAAATGAAACAAATGAAAGGAACTTGAATGTAAAACCTTTTCAGCTTGCAAGTCAAACTATGACTAGACATAATAAAGCAGCACTTTGAACTAAATTTCCACCAGCAAAAATTTATTATTTCATTCTTGCACTTCTGAATAGATGTTACTGTCATTGCATTATGCCTCTTTTTCACCCCAAAGTTTGGAGAAAAAAAAAAACCACGCTCTGAACATTTTTCTTTCCTTATACTACTCAATCAAAAATAAGGAAACATAAAAAGTGGACACTTTAAAGTCTCAAATACTTACTCTCTACTGGAGTGTGAGAATGGGCGTGATGGTTATTCACAGGCTGTGATGGTGTATCCAGCTCCAGAGACCCTAAGAGAGAGGTAAAAATGATACGAAAATTTCAGTCATCATTGACATGGTTTTGACTTTTAGATACTAAATTAATCAAAGAAATTAAAAAAGGTGGGGGGAGGAGGTGCAGTCAAATGTAAATCTATGTCTAAGAAAACATTACTTGTAATATTAGCTATGAGGCTAAACGATCACAGCATAAGAGAGACTTTGACCATAAACTTCCATTGGAACAATTTAAACCAGGTTGTGTATCAATTTTGGCAAAAAGATTTTGAACTAGCTGCCATACCTACCAACTTACATTTAGACAGAAGACAATTCAAGGAAAGAATTCACATTCATTTTTCAAAATCTGTGGTTTCAACATTTCTTTACCTCTTTCTTTTTCAGTGCTTTCAAAAAGTACATGAGTGTATTACAAAAGTTTAAAGAAAATTATTCTAGAAGATGTTCAAAGCATAAGGAGATATTTTGGCAGGGCTGACATTAATTATGCTATGAACTAGTCCAAAGGCTGCCCTCTGGTGGAACTTCAACGATATGGTTTTACTCTGAAAGCTAAAAATGTTAAGAGGCTTTTACTTCTCACTTTATTAAAAAAAACCAAAAAACAACAAAACACCAAAACCTTAAAGATCCAGCATGAATCTAGTACATTTCTATTTTGAGTTCTTGAAATTCTGCCTACCTACCTCAGCAAACACATAGCTCAACTGAAGGTAGTATCACATCTTAAAACCAGATGGGATTCCAACTAAAATAAACTAGTCCTTTTCTGTAGTTGCTAGCTCATTAAAAGCACTTACTTTGCAGTTTTCTTTCTGTGCCTGTTATCTGCAATAGCAATTACAAAAAAATATCCAAAACCTCACAGCTTTTATGACAAAACCACACAAAGTTCAAAGAAAGAATAATTATTCCTAATCTCCTCAAATGATACTCAAGAGGATACTTTTCACTATCCTTGGGTATGAGAACAGTCACTGCCCCTTAGCTCCATAATCACAGCAGTTAAATCAACTTTGAAATTTACCATTACCACATTTGAACTTGATGTCTAAATGCTTATGCATACAGAAAGGACAGATTTTTCTACACCAGGTTGGCCAAAAAGCTGTCACATTGCATTTTTGTTCACATTCTGAATACTAGTATTGTTACATTTGTTAAGCATGCAGGCTTCGTACCCAAAATGTTTCTCCCTCACTACCCCATTACAAAATAACCCAACTCTCTCCCCTTTAACTACTGAGCACCCAACTTTACTTGACATTCCACAACTCTAACTAAAATAATGACCCTCCTCAATTTGCTGCCAATCAATTCCAGTAAGAAACAGTACACTTTCAACGGGGTAGGTGGCAAGCTTAGAAGTACTTGTCTGAATACCTACAGTCATTAAGAACATGTTTAAAGAATTCTGTACCTTACTGTAGCAACTCCCAAGTGCAACAGTTGTGTGAAAAAAATTATTCCAATTACTCGGTTGTATTTTGACTTCATTGGTAAAAATTGAGGTTGAAAATAAAAGTTGAGAATCGCTGACTGATGAAAATATCCGGGTTAAAACACAATTTTGAAACAACTGGAAATACTGCAGGCCACTAACAAGTTTATGATATTTTAACTTTGAAATCTGACTGTCAAGTTCTCAAAGAAAACCATGCATACTTACGTCTCTCTAATATTTCTGTAATTCCAGCATTATCTGCTTCAAGTTCCATTTTAAATTTAGCGAGTTCCTGGTCCAATTTTCTCAAATGACGGTCTACCTGTTTTTGAGATAAAACAACAATAAATAGCATCCAGTTCTGGAACATGAATACCTACACCCTTAATCTCAGGCTTGACAAATATTTTCTTTCCAGCAATTGTGTGCCATGCAGCACTAAGCATGTATAAAAACACAGAAGCGTAACTTCTCAGTTACCTACATTTCCCTTATTCAGCAGAGATACTAGAATCAACACCCAAATAAGCTGGGCAGTCAATCACAGGATACAATAAGGCTGTATATTGTTCAGCAGCTAGGAGCCCTCCTCTTACTGTACGCAGTGTTCCAAGACACAACATTAAGCCTATCTTTTGAGAAAAAAAAGATTAAGGACTTGGTGGTGTTATGGGTATAGTCATAGAAAGGGGAAGAGAAAGAACAGTACATGACACACACTTTAGAAGAGGCTGGGCCGCACGGGGAAATTGAGAGTTTACTGAATTGCAATTTGTATGCCACTATACACATCAGTAAGCTTAAGTATTGAGTAAAACTCCTCCAAGTGGTACAGGAACTGATGAGAAAAGGTGCTGTGCTGGACCTTGTGCTAACCAACAAGGAGGGGCTAGTGAGCAATGTGAAGCTCAAGGGCAGCCTTGGCTGCAGTGACCATGAAGAGGTTGAGTTCAAGACCCTTAGGGGGTCAAAGAGGGTGTGCAGCAAGCTCACTACTCTGGACTTCAAGAGAGCGGACTTCGGCCTCTTCATGGACCTGCTTGGCAGAGTGTCGTGGGACAAAGCCCTGGAGGGAAGAGGGGCCAAAGAAAGCTGGTCAGTGTTCAAGGGCCATCTCCTGCAAGCACAGGAGCAGTGCATCCCCAGAAAGAGGAAGGCAGGCAAGAACGTCAGGAGGCCTCCGTGGATGAACAAGGAGCTCCTGGACTTACTCCAGCACAAAAAGAAAATATCTAGGCAGTGGAAGCAAGAATGGGTTAGCAGCTGGGAGGTATACAAAGAAGCTGTCTGAGCAGCCAGGGATCAAGTTAGGAAAGCTAAAGCCCAGATGGAATTAAATCTAGCCAGGGACACAAAGGGGAAGAAGAATTTCTACAAGTACAACGGTGATAAAAGGAAG